AACCCATGGATAGGGAGGGCTGATGGTACATAATTTTCCCCTGCTAAAGCATTCATTTGATTTAGTGGACCTAGTAAGGAGTCTCTAGTTTCAGTATGGTAATTGGGATAATCTCTCTTTTTTGGTTACCAGGCTAAACAACGTGGATGCTCTTTTATTCTTAGCAATCCAAAGAGAGAAAAACTAGCTGCTGGTGCTGTTTGACTTCTAGCTGAGATAACTTACTCCTCTGTGCTGCAACCAACAACCCTAAGTGGTGAGATTGAGAGAATAAACACATAATGCCTATTATATAGCAGGCACTTTCCACATAACTTCTCCCTTAACTTTTATTGCAATCCTTAAAGTCAATAGTATTTCTATTTTACAGGTGAGGAGAAAGAGGCTTTGGAATAACTTGCTTATGAAGTGGCCCTTTGTAAGGGAAATTCATTTGTATAGGCAATAGGCTTCTTAGACCAAACTAAAATGAATCCCGGCTGTCTTCAGCTGCCTTCTGGGAAGGCATGAGTTAGTACAGTTATGTAACCAAAGTGTTATCTCCCAGGTGAATCCATGTGATCATGCTTTCCAATGGCATGTTGCCACTATTGTTCTGAGCCATATATAAGTGCTTGCCATGTTCTCGGCCATGCTCTCCCCGAGGCTGCATCCCCTCCACCCACCCCCACCCCCGTCCCCACAATAAAGAACATGTCTCACCTACCGGCTGCCACCAGTCTCTTCTTTCAACTCCCGGAAGCCTGCTGCAGTGCACTCCCAAGCCACAGAGCCCACTCCCCACTCCCTTGGAGTTGACCAAGTCTAGGACCTTTATGTGCTCCTCTCCATTGTGTATCTAGCTCTAGTATCTAGTCGAAAATGACTTATCCTTCCTAAGGCACCAGGTGATTCATTATTAAATCAAATCAGACAATTTTGTTCGAAATAAATCCCTGCGGGTTGGGTGGATGGGAGAAGAGTGGGAACTGTTGATTCCATTATTCAGTTGGTCTTTTTAGAGTCCGTCATCCTAAAGTGGGAGTGGCCAGCTGCTTGCTGTCTTTATAATTAACGAGGCTAGTGAAGCAGAGTTGGGGGTAATTTGGTGGTGGGAGGTTGATGAACCGAGGTCCAGGTTTTAAATTCATGTTCGTTACTTCCCTTTTTCAAAAACTATTAATACCTGGTAACAGTGCAATGAAGTCGCGGTGCTACTGACTGCGAAGGTAGCGCGTGTGCGACTGCTATTGCCGGCATTACATTCGAGTATAGAAACATGTGCAAAAGTCGCCTTAGCCTCGTTCTCGGTGGCAGCTACCAGGCGCTAACGGCGATCTTAGCTTGGGACGCAGCTAAGTAGTTTCTCAGAACGCTTTAGTTAGCAGCCGCCACTGACCCGGGCGTCACCTCCCAACCAGGAAGCCCAGAGGCCTCCAATGAAGAGGAAACTGGAGCCTCATCGTCTGAAACCAGCCCCGCCTGTCTCCCTCACCTTGAATGGCTCCTTGTCCTCTTCACCTTTCTTGAACACCGTCCTGACCCTCCCCTGTCATCGTTGACCCTGAATCCGATCTCATCCTCGTTCGGGAACCCGACCCCACGACCCCGGCACCTGCTGTCGCCAGCCCAGTGGTCCCATCAGCTGTCATTGCCATTTCTGCTGCCTCCCCAGAGTCAGTATTCTAGGACCTGGAAAACGAACCCATGAAATCAAGCTTTGGCAGAATGTCACATTGGGTAATTTTGATGTCCTTCAAAAAAGACCCCATATTTAGATGTGTATTTGCAATGCTGTGGTACCATCCAGTCCTCTTGCCTTTGTTCCAGGAAGATGTGTCAGTACTAGTGAAGTAACAGTAGTACTTGAGGATAAGGTATAAGTGCTCTGCAAAGCAGTTACAGGCTTGACTTAGTATTGGGGTAGCGGGGACCACTAGGCAAGAACTAGACCATTTTAAGAAAATATGAATTCTGATTTCAAAGATGAAATGACAGAAGAATTGCCTATGGGCAACCAGAGGGTGAAAACTTTTCCAAAAAAAAAAAGATACTGAAGGTAACAGGGAAGATGGAGAAAATGAGCTAATTGATTACAAGCCTTTGAACTCCCCCAAAGACATGGTTTGGAAGCATATTTGGCAGCAAGGATAATGTTCGAAGTCAGTTTGCATAGAGATGTACAGGAATTGTGGATTCCAGAAGAATGAAAGAGCAGGATTTGATAGAGTTTGACAGAAATCCTCATACTGTGTTTACATGTGAAGAAGAGGATGAAATCTCTTCAGAAAAGCAGAGAAAAGAGATATGTAAATGTGTTACTTAAAATAACTGATTCTTATTCAGGACAATTCTCAAATTGAGGTTACAAATAAAAAACATGGTGAAGGATCAACGGATGATAACAATTTATGTATTTTTCTCATTCTGATTAAGGGCTTGGATGAATGCAGAAAAAAACACATAAATTCAGTGAGAAGAACGAAGGCAAATAAAAGCAAAAAAAAGTCTGCATCAGCTGTACACCAGGTCTGCCAAACATCAAAGCACCTGCTGATATTTACAAAGATTTTGTTGATGTGATGAGTGGTGAATAAACCTCCCTCCCCAGTTGATTTTGAAGCCTCCCAAAGGAAAGATTAGTAACACCACTGCAAGCATTGCTGCCAGCATTAATGAATAAGAAAGAGTTCTGGAGAGCAGTAGCTGTGAAGAAGCCACTTGCAGTACCAGTATGGATACTGGGAAGGGGGAAACAAAGGAAGATGTGCTTTCATCTGAATCATCTGAGATGACTAAAAAGTGCCATGTCAAGTCACTGCTTTTTCCATGCAACCAGAGAGCAAAGAGAAGGATTAGAAAAAAAAAGAAAAAGCTTAATAGAGGCCGGGCGCGGTGGCTCACGCCTGTAATCCTAGCACTCTGGGAGGCCGAGGCGGGCGGATTGTTTGAGCTCAGGAGTTCGAAACCAGCCTGAGCAAGAGCGAGACCCCGTCTCTACTAAAATTAGAAAGAAATTAATTGGACAACTAAAAATATATAGAAAAAATTATCCGGGCATGGTGGCGCATGCCTGTAGTCCCAGCTATTCGGGAGGCTGAGGCAGGAGGATCGCTTGAGCCCAGGAGTTTGAGGTTGCTGTGAGCTAGGCTGACGCCACGGCACTCTAGCCTGAGCAACACAGTGAGACTGTCTCAAAAAAAAAAAAAACTTAACAGAGGAGTTCAAAACTCAAAGGCGCCAGGCTGCAGCAGAAAAATCCAGGTCCAGTTCTGAAAATGAAAGTTTGCCCTGTTTGGCAAATTTACAGAATAGATATATTCAGAAATGTAGTTCGTGACAAAAATAATCGTGTTAATTTACAACAGTCTCTTTTTCTTATAAGTATTAATTTTGGAGAAAATAATGAGAAATAAATGCTGACTAGTTATAGCCAGAATATTTTATTAATTCCAAAGTATTCTGCCAACTTGGTCTTTGCCTTATGATACAGAAGTAGCATTTACAATTATTTTTTCAAAGAATATTGTTTGCATATGTTGCTTCTGCAATTCAACCTAAATATATAGTTTTGTAAAAGATCATTACAAAAATGTAAACTTTCAATTGATTTACAATTATACTGAATGAACTGCTTTTGTAGCTTACAGGTATTTTCGTACCCCAATTATTGAATGGATGCTTAAAAATCTACTTTCTCCTGGATAGTTGTTGATAACATAGAAAACAAAAATCTGTGCTTACTCTGATAAAGTGTATTTGCAAAAAAAGATGCTAAAGATAATTTTGAAATTAGAAAACCAAATGCTGAAATATTTGTTGTTGCTGCTGGTTTGTTTCTGCTTTTGTTTTTTTATAGCAAAACACCACTGATGTCTCTTGCTTTCCCAAAACCCACAAGATAAAGTCTAAACACCTAAATAATACATAAAAGGCCTTTTGCCTACCTTTCTGGCAACCACTCTAAGTCCTGAATGTAGTTAAGGCACACTAAACTTCACATTGTTCCCCCAAACATTTCACTTAGTTCACACTATTGCCCCTGTAATGTCTCTTCTCCAGTTTATCTGCCCAGAAAATTTCTATTTATTCTTCAAAACTAGCTCAAAAGATATTTTCTTTTAAATGCCTTTCATGTCTTTGCCAGGAAAAATGTCTCCCCATTTCCATGGCAACTTCTCACATCTATTCCATCATATTTACATTACAAATATCTGTCTCCCACTAATATCTACCAGCTTTTAATCCTCAACACCTAAGATGGACCTTGACACATCAATTAGCATTTCCTCAATGAAAGTTTGATGAATAAAAAGAGTGGAAAACAAAGCATTGTCATCGAAAGGCTTAGGGTTAATAAAATACAGGAGCAATTCAAAGGCTTTCAGTATCCAAACTAAAAGTAGTTGCTTGGAATTATCTGTCAGTATTGGAATTGGATGACAAAGGAACAAGGCTGAAAAGTTCGGGGCCAGAAAGAGAAAAGTGAGGCTCTGAAGGATAAAATGGGTCACTTAACAAAGAGATGTAGCTGTTGAATGGTAGAGGGGGCCTCGACCATTCTCTAGGCTTTGAACGTTAAGTCCAGTTCTCTTTATGCATATACACCTTCACATGGCACTCAAGGTTGTCCATGGCCTGGCTGCATTCTGCATTTTATGCCTTATATTCCACCATTCGCTTTCATCTGTGAGCATACTCTCCATAAACAGAATTCCTCTCTCTCACAAAACATGCCCTTTTCTTCTTAGCTTCCATGCCATTGTTCCTAGGATTTCCTGTCTGCTCAAAATGCAGAACCACTGCCACTGTCCCCATGCAACTTTCGATGATTCCTCACCTGGATTTAAGCTCTGCCTCCTCTTTCCCTATGTCTCATTTTAACACCATTGTTGTAACAGTAGCTAAAGACAGGCTTGGCACCAACCAGGTAGGGTAGGCTTAGGGATTAATGAAGGTCAGTCAGGGGATCAGGAGGAGCAGTAAGGAGGGCAGTGTTCTAGAAAGGGAGCAGTGGTAATTCAAAGGTCAAAGAGGGAGGTCATCACCTCTGGCTGGCTCATGCACTGTTGGATGCTCTCCCTCCGAGCGGAGGCTAAAGAACGAGTCTCCTCCTGAAAGCAGCGGTGTCCCTCCTCAGTGAGCCTCCAGAGGCAAGAGCGAGGTTTTGCATTGGCCCCATCCTGAGGGCTTACTGGCGTCTTCTCGAAGCTGCCCAGGAAGCAGAGGTTGTGGTTAATAGTGTTTTTCCAGCCATCTGGAGCAGTACAGAAAAAGGGGAAATGCTGTCGGGTGAAATTGTAGATCTCTTGCACACTGAGGCCACAGGGGGGGCTGTTTTTTAACGCTAGGGCAATTAGGTGGCTGTAATTGAGAGGAGGCCGTGGCCAGGACCTCCTCTCCTGGCTGTTGATTGGCCACAGCTTCTGGCTCTGGAAGCACTCCCTTTTGTTAGGAGGCTGGAGGGCCACAGAAGAATTGTCCTCTTGTTCCTCAGTCTCCTCTTCTGTGTCCCAGTCACTAGGGGAAGAGATGAACCGCTTCTGTAAGGGAGACTGCTCACTTGAGGAAGATGGCAGGGACTCCACCACTGTGGCCTCTGAGCAGTTTGACTCTTCATCCTTTAGAGGGAGCTCAGGGGAAGGAGGCATGCTTTTCAGATCCTTTTTTTTACTGGGCTTTGGGGCCTCCTTGCTGCCGAGGGGGCACACGATGTTGGGGTTCACCCACATCCACAGGTTGGGTTCACAGTGAGGACCATCTTTGTCAGGACTGGGTCTCTTCTCCTGAGGCATCTCTGGGGGCTCCATTACTCGGAGTCTGTATTTGGCAAGGTGCTGCTCTGCTAAGGGTTGCTGGTCTGTGGTACAAGGCAGAAATAACTCATTCCCCATGTCCCAGTCCAGAAGCCCTGGGACCTGGCCGTGAAGACTGTACCAGAACTCACGATCTTTAAGTTTTAGGTCCATCTTAGTGGAGAGATACATGGAGGGAGACTTCCAAAAGAACAGAGGTCTCTTAGGCACTTAAATTTTTTGCTGTAGCACTGTTTTTGATGTAGTATATCTCATCCAGGGGACTCAGTAGGCTTGCTAGAAGTACTGGAAAAAGAGGCACTGATGCCCTACTGATTAGTGGTCAGACTTGGAGAAACCTTAGACTTCTGGAACAGAGCTCAGAACAGGGAAGTAACTAAAAGGAGCTTTTTAGCAGGAAAAAAAAGTTCAGAGTGGAATTCCTGAGCTTTCATTGGAAGCAGGAAGTCTCCATAGAGGACTTACAAACTTTGAACTACGTGCAAACTAAGATGACTTGCATAACAGGTGATTATCTGGCATATCTTTCAACTCTTGTTGGATTCATTTAACAAAGAGACAAACATGTGCAAGATCACACGAGAGCCTTATATTTCTGGGTCTTCCTTAAACAGTTTAAAAAATCGTTTCATTTTTAAAGTGCCTTTGGACTTTTGTCAGGTGCTTCCACTTTGATGACCTCAACTGATTTCACGACAGCCCTGCAAAATAACATAGAGGGTATCATTAACCCCATGCCACAGATATGGGAAGTGAGATCTACAGAATATTTAAGAGTACACACTCAAGTATTATAGAAGAGCTATATTCACAGCCCAGGTCCTCTCATCCTTTCATGCTACCTGGCTACCTATTGTCTCTTGATCACATTCAATGCAGTATATAAAGCAGGCAGCAATATGTGCAACCTGAGTTTTAGAGTAAGATGGTAACTATCAGAAGATGGCCTCTATTAGTCTCAAACCCATGCTAGAACCCAACCTTGCTGTTATTTTCAATCCTTTTTTGGAAAATAGCTGGCTTCCCTCTGGAGAAGGTCGCCTTCTCAAGAAATGAGTTCTGAACTATACTCTGAACAGTAGAACTAAAGTTTAGTCATGCCATGCAAGGTCCTGAAATCCTCAGAGATTGTCCTTCCAGTAAGTTCATGCCAAGGACATCTGTAAGAAAAATAAAATGGGAAGGTTTCATTTAATCCAGTCTGTACAAAATCCATCTATAATGTATGTGATTTCATTAAAATCACTATATAGGACTGTATCATAAACATATCTAGCAAATACCAGTGGGAACTATTGGAGGGGTGCACTAATCTCCCTATGGTTTCCCCATTCTCTGGTCCTATTCTACTCAAAATCATCCTCTGTACAAGATTCCAAGGTGATCTTTCTACTGCATAAATATAAAAATTAATAACAATGATATCAACTGTTAATACTCATTGAATGCTCTAAGCATTCTATATGATTTAACTCATCAATCCTCAAAATAACTCTATGAAGTAGGTACTCTTATTATTCTCCCTTTATGGAGCAAAAAACATAAGGAACAAAGAAGTCTAAGTTACACACCTAGTAAAAGGCATTGCTGACTTTCAAACTCAGGCATCCTGGCTGCAGAGCATGTGCTTTTACCCACTATACTCTCTGTTTTGGTACTACAACATAAAATCCTACCACTTAATGAAGCATAGAAGGCCCTCGAGGATCCCACCCCTGCTTACCTTTCCAGGCTAATTTATCACCCCAGCTTCCTTGCTTCATACTTAATGTCCCAGAAATATTGAAATGGCAGGATCTTCACCACACAACCCTCCTATCTTTTAATCATGTCCCTTTGCTCAAGAACCTCTGCTTAGAATGGCCTACTACCAATTTCCTTGGCCTGGCTAACCTCTATTCATCTTTTAAGACTATGGAAAGCCTTCTCTAATAAAAATGCTGCTTCCACCTCCCTATAGGGAATTAATGGATTTCCTTCACAATGAGGCAAGGACCTGGGCAAAGCAGGGGACTTAACCTGAAATATTAGCTTATTATGCCAACCTCAGAGAGCCTGGCAGCATATTAGCTCTCAGTGGTCCCTTACCCCTTAAATGAGAGCTCAAGTGTTACAGAATTTCTCTTCCATCTTCATCTGGGAACACAGTCCAACCCTCAGATATTGGCTAGTAAAACTAGGTCATCACTGTGTATTCTTTCAGCCTCATTTAAAATATTCAATATTTATGTATTGAACATCTACCATATTTAAAGCAGTGTGTAACAGGCCTGGCAGATAAGTAAGACACAATCCAAGAGGATATCGCAGCCTAACTGGGGAAGACATACAAGTAAAAAGAAAATTAAAATACAATGTAATAAGTACCAGACACTATGTTAGAAGAAAAAAAAAGAGGGACAAATTAATCTGAATGATAGGAATCAGAAGGGATCCCCATAGAAGGCGTTGCTTGAGCTTAAAAGACATGCTACCCAGAAGCAGAGATATGGAGAACAGGCTAGCACATGCCAACTAGGTATCTGGTACCTTGTCTCTTAATTCTGCTCCAGAAAAGGAGGCAGGGGCATTTTGTACATGCTCTGGAAAAATACTTAAACTCTTATTTGTGGGTATCTTGTTTCCGAGGCCCTCACACATCCCAAGTGCTAATATAGGCAAAAATGTCAATGTTTGATGAAACCACATGTCATAAGCAAAGTAGGGTACAACAATAACATAAGTCAAGTTGGGAAAGTGGTGGGAATTCATAATGATCCTGTATCCAAGAAATAGAAAATATACATTCTTTTCAAGAATTTCCAAAGAATTACCATATACTAGGTTACAAATGAAATCTCAAAAATTTCAAATAATCTATAACATATACTTTCTCTGATCATAATGCAATTAACTATAAAGTGTAATAAAAATAAAACAAAAAATTACTTAGAAACTTCAAAAATTGTTCCTTAAAATCTCATTAGTTTAAAGAAGAGTTCAGCATGAAAATTACAACATATTCAAACATGAACAATGAGCACACTATATTCTGAAACTCATGAGATGCAAAAAAGTGACATTTAGAAGGGAACTTATAGGTGTAAATGAACAATTTTATTGAAAAGTAAAACACATTGAATACAAATGATGTCTTCTACCAAAAATATAAAAATTCTCAACAAAATTAATAAATCATTAAAAACCATAACAGATAGCCTTAATCAATGAAGAGATACACCACGTTTATATATTGGAAGGCTCAGTATCATAAAGATATCAATATTCTGCATTTCACTCTAAAAATTAAATATCATTCCAGTCAAAATCCCAGAAGCAGACCTGGTGCAGTGGTTCACGCCTATAATCCTAGCACTTTGGGAGGTAGAGGTGGGAGGATCGCCTGAGGCCAGGAGTTTGGGGTTGCAGTGAACTATAATGATGTCACTGCACTCTAACCAGGGTAACAGAGTGAGACACTGCCTTTTAAAAATCCCCAAATCCCAGAAGAAGTGTTTAAAAAAAACTTTTCAAATTGATCCTCAATGTTATAGGGAAGAGCAAAATTCCTAGAATACCTAAGACATATTAAAGAAAAGACAGAGGATTTGTCCTACCAGATACCAAGACTTATTATAAAGCTATAGTAAATTAAGACATTTTAACAATAAAAAGACAAAAATCCCAAAGGGACAATAAAGTCCAGAAAAAAAAATCCCATCATCAATACTCTCTATTCCTCTTTGTTTTTCTCCTCAGCACTTATCATTCCTTAAAATAATATATAATTCTATTATTTATTTTATTATCTGTCTCCACTCACTAGACTATAAGGTCAGTGAGGACTGAATTTTTTGGCTGTATTTGTTTGTTTCCAATGAAGTATTGTCAGTGCCTAGGAGAATTTCTGGCTCAATAAATATTGGTTGAATGAATAAATAAAGACTGAAATGTGAAAATCAAAACTGTAATTTTTATAATACAGGAGAATGAATATAATTATATCCTTGGAGTAGGGAAAAATTTCTTGGAAATACACAAAAAATTAGATTACATAAAAATTTAAAATTCACACACACACAAGCTGTTATAAACAAAGGGTAAAAACAAGCTACTACAGACTGCAAGAAGATTTATGAGACACATTAAAATGGGAACACATAAGGAATTCAAACATATCAACAGGAAGAAACAACAAAGTAGAATAGGCAAAGTATATTAAAAGGCCTCTTCACAGAAAAAAAAAAACTGGCCAATAAAAACACAAGAGATGTTCACCCTTAGTAGTAATCACAGAAATGCAAATTAAAACAAAAGTAAGGTGATATTACACACTATCAGGTTAAAATAGCTAGTAAATTTAAAGATTCTTAAAACTTACAACCTGGGAATTCTATTTTTAGGTATATATTCCAGAGAAATTCTTCCATATGAGCATACTGAGAAATATATGAGAGAAACAGCACTGTTTGAAATGGTAAAACAAAAAATAGGTAACAGTCTAATGTCCATGGCAAAGAAAATGATATATAAATTAGGACATAATTGTTATAATGCACTACCCTAATATTAGCATGTGAACCAAAGCCTCACATTTTAACATGGATTAATTTCAAAAATATAATTTTAAGGCTGGAAAACAATGCTATTATGATTATTTAAAAATACATACGGAAAGTTTAAAACCACGCAAAGGAAGAAAAGAGAGTAGAATTAGGGAGGAGTACACAGGGAGTTTTAGCTGAGGCTGCAATGTGGGAAAAATAAATTGATTATGAATACCAACTCACATCCATCATTTTGGCAAAAATTTCAAAACAGACAAACAATAACATCAAGCTTTGACAGGAACGGGGTGGGAGGGGTAGCACTCTCATCCACTACTCGTGGGAGTGTAAATTGGTGTAACCATTTTAAAGAGCAATTTGTCAGTGTTTATTAAAGGTTACAATGTGAGTACCTTAAGATTCAGCAATTTTTACTTCTAGGTACGCATCCTAGGAAGCACTTGTAACTATGCTTTATGAAACATGAAAGAGAGTGCTCCCCACAATACTGCTTGAAATGCTGAGAAAGAGTTAAATATCTACGATATGGAAAGAAGTGAATTAAGCACAGTAAAAACCATGCTAAGGAACTGTATGAGCTTTTAAGTAAAATTAATCCTTTGTATG